GTGTGCTGTTTTCAAGAGACCTATTTCATGTACAAAGACACATATAGGCTCAAAATAAAGGGATGGAGGAATATTCACCAAGCAAATGGAAAGAAAAAAAAATCAGGGTTGCAATCCTAGTCTCTGATAAAACAGACTTTAAACCAACAAAGATAAAAAAGACAAAAAAGGGCATTACATAATGGTAAAGGGATCAAAGCATCAAGAGCTAACTATCCTAAATACGTATACACCCAATACAAGAGTGCCCAGATTCATAAATAAAGTTCTTAGAGACCTACAAAGAGACTTAGACTCCCACAGAATGATATTGGGAGACTTTAACACTTCACTGTCAACATTAGACCAATGAGACAGAAAATTAACAAAGATATCCAGAAGCTGAACTCAGCTCTGGATCAAGTGGATCTGATAGGTGCGGATCTCTCTACCTCAAAACAACAGAATATACATTCTTCTCAGCACCAGATGGCAACTACTCTGAAATTGACCACAAAACTGAAAGCAAAATACCCCTCAGCAAATGCAAAAGAACGGAAATCATAACATACAATCTCTCAAACCACAGTGCAATCAAATTAGAATTTAGGATTAAGAAACTCACTCAAAACTGCAAAACTACATGAAAACTGAATGACCTGCTCCTGAATGACTACTGGGTAAATAACAAAATTAAGGCAGAAATAAATAAGTTCTTCAAAACCAATGAGAACAAAGGCACAACTTACCAGAATCTCTGGAATACAGCTAAAACAATGTTAAAAGGGAAATTTATAGCACTAAATGCCCACATCAGAAAGCTGGAAAGATCTGAAATTGACACCCTAACATCACAATTAAAAGAACGAGAGAAGCAAAAGCAAACAAATTAAAAAGCCAGCAGAAGACAAGAAATAACTAAGATCAGAGCATAACTGAAGGAGATAGAGAAACAAAAAACACTTCAAAAAATCAATATACCCAGGAAGTGGTTTTTGAAAAAGATTAACAAATAGATAGACTGCTAGCTAGACTAATAAAGAGAGAATAACCAAATAGACAAAAAATGATAAAGGGAATATCACAATTGATCCCACAGAAATACAAACTACCATCAGGTTGTATTATAAACACCTCTACAAAAATAAACTAGAAAATCTAGAAGATACTGATAAGTTCCTGGACACATATACCCTCCCATGACTAAACCAGGAAGAAGTCAAATCCCTGAACAGACAAATAACAAGTTCAGAAATTGAGGCAGTAATTAACAGCCTATCAACCAAAAAAAGCCCAGGACCAGACAGATTTCACAGCTGAATTCTACCAGAGGTACAAAGAATAGCTAGTACCATTTCTTCTGAAACTATTCCAAACAATAGAAAAAGAGGGACTCATCCCAAACTCATTTTATGAGGCCAGCATCATCCTGATTCCAAAACCTGGCAGAAACACAACAAAAGAAAATTTCATGCCAATATCTCTGATGAACATTGATGCAAAAATCCTCAAAAAATACTGGCAAATTGAATCCAGCAGTATATTAAAAAGCTTATCCACCACGATCAATTAAGTTTCATCCCTGGGATGTAAGGCTGGTTCAACATACCCAAATCAATAACCATAATCCATCACATAAACAGAACCAATCACAAAAACCACATGATTATCTCAGTAGATGCAGAAAAGGCCTTCAATAAAATTTAACACCCCTTCATGCTAAAAACTCTCAATAAACTGGGTATTGATTGAACATATTTCAAAATAATAAAAGCTATTTATTACAAACTCATAGGCAATATCATACTGAATGGGCAAAAGCTGGAAGCATTTCCTTTGAAAACCAGCTCAAGACAAGGGTGCTCTCTCTCACCACTTCTATTCAACATAGTATTTGAAGTTCTGGCCAGGGCAATCAGGCAAGAAAAAGAAATAAAGGATATTCAAAAAGGAAAAGAGGAAATTAAATTGTCTCTGTTTGCAGATGACTTGATTGTATATTTAGAAAACCCCATCGTCTTAGCCCAAAATATCCTTAAGCTGATAAGCAACTTCAGCAAAGTCTCAGGATACGATATCAATGTGCAAAAATCACAAGCCTTACCATACACCAATAATACACAAGCAGAGAGCCAAATAATGAGTGAACTCCCATTCACAATTGCTACAAAGAGAATAAAATACCTAGAAATACAACTTACAAGGGATGTGAAGGAACTGTTCAAGAGAACTAGAAACCACTGCTCAAAGAAATAAGACAGAACATGAACGTTCCATGTGCATGGATAGAAATAACTGATATCATGAAAATGGCCATACTGCCCAAAGTAATTTGTAGATTCAATGTTATTCCTATCAAGCTACTTTGCAGAATTAGAAAAAAACTACTTTAAATTTCATATGGAACCAAAAAGAGCCCATATAGCCAAAGCAATCATAAGCAAAAAGAACAAAGCTGGAGGCATCACACTACCTGACTTCAAACTTTATTACAAGGCTACAGTAAGCACAACAGCATGGTACTGGTACCAAATCAGATATATAAACCAATGGACCAGAATGGAGACCTCAGAAATAACACCACATATCTACAACCATTGGATCTTCAACAAACCTGACAGAAAAAAGAAATGGGGAAAAGATTCCCTATTTAATAAATGGTGTTGGGAAAACTGGCTAGCCATATGCAGAAAACAGAAACTGGACCCCTTCCTTACACTTTATTCAAAAATTAATCCAATATGGATTAAATGCTTAAATGTAAAACTTAAAACCATAAAGACTAATATCCGGAATCTACAAGAAACATAAACAAATTTACAAGAAAAAAACAAACCACCCCATCAAAAAGTGGGTGAAGGATATGAACAGACACTTCTCAAAAGAAGACATTTATGTGGCAAATACATGAAAAAAGCTCATAATTACTGGTGATTAGAGAAATGCAAATCAAAACCACAGTGAGATACCATCTCACACCAGTTAGAATGGTGATCATTAAAAAGTCCGGAAACCACAGATGCTGGAGAAGATGTGGAGAAATAGGAATGCTTTCACACTGTGGGAATGCAATTTAGTTCAACCATTGTGGAAGACAGTCTGGTGATTCCTCAAGGATCTAGAACCAGAAATACTATTTGACCCAGCAATCCCATTACTGAGTATATATCCAAACGATTATAAACCATTGTGTTATAAAGACACATGCACACATATGTTTATTACAGCACTATTTACAAAAGCCAATACTTGGAACCAACCCAAATACCCATCAATGATAGACTGGATGAAGAAAATGTGGCACATACATGCCTTGGAATATTATGCAGCCATAAAAATGAGTTCATGTCCTTTGCAGGAACATGGATAAAGCTGGAAGCCATCTTTCTCAGCAAACTAACACAGGAACAGAAAACCAAACACTGCATGTTCTCACTCATAAGAGTTGAACAATGAGAACACATGGACACAGAGGGGAACATCACATACTGGGGCCTGTCATGGGGTGGGGGGCAGGGGGAGGGAGAGCATTAGGAAAAATATCTAATGGATGTGGGACTTAAAACCTAGATGATGGGTTGATAGGTGCAGCAAACCACCATGGCACATGTATACCTATGTAATAAACATGCATGTTCTGCACATGTATCCCAGAACTTAAAAAAAAAAAAAAATCTCATGTAATGTTTGTCTAGCAACAAATTCCCCTAGTGGTTACTCGTTTGGAAAAGATTTTATTTCTCCTTCACATATTAAACTTAGTTTGGTGGCATATGAAATTCTTGATGGGAATTTCTTTTAAATGTACTAAAAGTAGGCTTCCAATCTCTCCTGACTTGTAAGTCTGAGAAGTCTTTTAGCTTGATGGGGTTTGCTTTGCAAATAATCTGACCTTTCCTTCTAGCTGCCTTTAGGAGTTTTTTTCTTCAATGTTGATCTTGGACAATCTGGTGACATATGCCTTGGTGATGCTCATTTTGTATAGTATCTCACAGGTGTTCTGTGGATTTCTTGTATCTGGATGTCTGCCTCTAGCAAGATTAAGGAAGCTTTCCTGAATTATTCTCAGACATGTTTTATCCAATTTGCTTATTTTTTCCTCCTTTCTCAGGAATGCTAATAATTCATAAGTTTGACAGCTTCATATAATCCCGTATTTCTTGAAGACTTTGTTCATTTTTAAAATTTTTTCTTTATTTCTGTCTGACTAGATTAGTTTGAAAGACTGGTCTTCAAGTTCTAAAATTCTCTCATACTCTTGGTTTTGTCTATTGATAAAGCCTTCCATTTTATTTTGAAATTCCTTAAGTTGGTCTTCAATTCTGGAATCTCAGATTGATTTCTATATAAAGATGCTTATCTCTTCATTTCCTGGAATGCTTGAAAAGTTCCTCTGTGGTGATTTTTAACTTTGCCCTGAATTTTGTTGACCTTCCCTGCAATCTACGCTTTGAATTCTTTATCTGTCATTTCTGAGTTTCCATTTTAATTACAGACCACTGCAGGAGATCTAGTATGATGCTTTGGTGGTATCACTCCATTCAGTTTTTTCCTGATGCCAGAATTCTTGCACTGGGTCCTTCACATCTGAAGATACTGGCACTTCTAATTTTTATAATTATTTTCATGTGGGTAGGATTTATTTTTGTTTCTTTCCCTATAACATTTTTTCCCCTTTTTCTTCTCCTGTACCCTAGGGGTGTGACTGTAGAGAATGTTGGATAGGGTGTTTTGGCTTTGCTTCTATAGCCCTATGCACTTTTGTCAGCAGCTTTTATATTAGGCTTTGTGGTTTAAGCTACAAGCCAGTAGATAGCATTTATGGGTAGGAGCTGGCTGCAGCCAAAGTAGCTGGATATATACATGATCATTGTTTACTGGGAGAAACTCTTTCTTGCCTCAGGCTATAGGCTGATCCGCAGAGTGCACGGTGGTCTGAGCTCCCTGCTTAGCATCTGGAAGTGGGGAAAGATGAGTGGTACCAGAATGAGAAGGCCTGCCTACAGGTTCCTCAATGGCAGGAACAAGAACCAATGCTGAGGGAGAATCCAAGGGGCAGCCACCAAGCACCTAGAGGTGTCTCTAGGCATGGAGCTGGGAAACCTCCTTGGCCCCAAGTTCTCTGTATGGGGAGGGGGTTGCAGCCTAAACTCCTAATCCAAGAGATTGGGTGCTCCAGAGGCCTGGAGATGTGCTTGGGTGTGGAGTGTAAAGAGCCCCACCGCACCACAACCTCTTCACAGGAAGAACAAGATGTTTCACCAGTCAGAATGGCTATTATAAAAATGGGAAAAAGGCTGGGCACGGTGGCTCATACCTGTAATTCCAACACTTTGGGAGGTCGAGGCGCGCAGATCATTAGGTTGGGAGTTTGAGACCATCCTGGCCAATATGGTGACACACCGTCTCTACTAAAAATACAAAAATTAGCTTGGCATGGTGGCACGCACCTGTAGTCCCAGCTACTCAGGAGGCTGAGGCAAAAGAATTGATTGAACCCAGGAGGTGGGGGTTGCAGTGAGCTGACAACGCGCCATGACAGAATGAGACTCTGCCTCGGGGGAGTGGGGGGATGGTGGGGGGAATTGAAAAACAACAGATGCTGGGGAGGCTGTGGAGAAAAGGGAACACTTAATACATAGTTCAGCCACTGTGGAAAGCAGTTTGGAAATTTCTCAAAGAACTGAAACCATAATTTGACCCAGCAATCCCATTACTGGTTGAATATCCAAAGGAAAATAAATAATTGTGCAAGAAAAAAATACATGCACCAGTATGTTAATAGCAATAGTCTTCACAAAGCAGAGACATGGAATCAACCTAGATGCCCAACAATGGCAGAGTGGATAAAGAAAATATATCACAGAATACGATGTATATATATATAATGTTATATATATATATATATTCTGTGATATAAAATGTATATATGTTAATAGCAATAGTCTTCACAAAGCAGAGACATGGAATCAACCTAGATGCCCAACAATGGCAGAGTGGATAAAGAAAATATAGTATGTATATATCACAGAATACGATGAAGCTATAAAAAAGAATGAAATCCTATCCTTTGAAGCAACATGAATGCAGCTGGAAGCTGTTATCCTAAGTTAATTAACACAGGAATGGAAAACCAAATACCACATGTTCTCACCTGTAAGTGGAAGGTAAGCACCGGGTACACAGGGACATAAAGATGGGAACAACAGACGCAGGGGATTACTAGAGTGGGGGAGAAAGAGAGAAGGGCAATGATTGAAAACTACCAACTGAGTGCTTTTCTCACTACTTGGATGACAAGATCATTCATACTTTAAACCTCAGCATCACACAATACACTCATGAAACAAACCTGCATATATACTCCTTGAATCTAAAAGTTGAAGTTATTTTTAAAAGGTATATTTGCTTTAAACAGTCTTCTGATACCAATTATCCTAAGATAACTATGATGGCTAAATTTTTTAAATTATTATAAATTCCAACAGGATATTCTTTCTAAATATGCATAAATAAATAAAATAGGTTAATGCTGGTGTGCATAATGTTCTTAATGATTCTGAATAGCACTGCTAGATTTAGTCATTCATGAGTTAAAATTTTAGGCATCTAAATTGATCAGGCATCTGAGTGTTTATTTTGGGGGAGGGGGTTGGCACTACATGATGTAAATAGTCCAAGAGATAATGTAGGCCAGATAGTGTGATAATATTGAATTTTTATATTATTCAGCTAGCTATACATTTTTAGCTTAATTTCACACTTCTGAGAATCATTATTTTGAACTTGCTTAACTCAAAGGAAATGGTGGTTTCAACAGCGGTGTTGCTGTTTCCTTTGAACATTCTCATTGCCAAATTTTTTTCCTGTTTTTTTCTCTTTTATTTTTCAGTTTCTTTGTTAAAATATCTTTTAAAACACAACCTCTCATCAGTGGCTCCAATGACAGCTTTTTTTTTTTTAACATACTGAGATAATTATTCAATTTAAAAAATTACGCATACATATATTCAAATAAAAATAAAATTTAAGAAAAGAAAGTTTAAAAAAGTTGTAATGCTATGAGTAAAATACTGTTGTTTATCTCTGACCCAGAGGTCTTCTATTTTTTTTCATTGAAAGTGTTGCTAACTCATTAGCTTGCAATTAGGATAAAATCTTTGATCCTTTACAATTCTTAACATGAGGCTATTCAGAATTGTTTTTTGCCATGTTTGTTTTTGAAATTCATTCAAGAATTTGTCCATTTCACCTAAATTGTTGACTTTATTAACAAAGTTATTCACCTCCTTATTCTTTAAATTTCTCTAGGAACTCTAGTGGTGCCCCTTGTTTTATTCCTGACATTGCTAATTTTTGTTTTTTTCTATTTTTCTCTTGATCACTCTTACTAGGGGTTACTATGTTTATTAACCCAATGTAAGTAGATTTAGCCAGGATTCCTTGGCAGTCCCAAGGATACTTAAAAATTTAGGTAAAAGCCAGTGCTAGGAAAGCTGAATCACAGAGAGACAAAGGATTAAGAAACATTCAGCCAGATCAGAAATCCAACATGAAATTTACCAACAGGTAGTATCTGAGGTCATTTGAATCTAAAATTAAAGTCAGTAAAGACAAAGTCAAACAATCACACATTGTGAAAAAGTTGCTACTGATAGTCCTTTATGTGAGGAAAACATCTGTCACTGATGAAACCATAATTTACAACTTCATTAACAGGTGTGGAGATGTAGTCATACTTTGATTTAAAACAAAAAAAATAAGAAAAATAGGACTAAAATATAACTACTTATTATCTTAAAAAGATGTTATCTGCTTCTGTTGGACTTCTAAGATATGCCAATATTTAATTGCTAATGAACATGATTGACTTTCATAGGCTTGCCTATGCAGTTAAGCTAGAAGGAGCAGTCTTGAAACACAAGCTGCTTCATTTTGATTTTCACTGTTTTGAGGTTGTTTTCCAAGAGAGAAACCAAACATGAGAGAACATATATTAGTTGCACAAAAATTCATCTACAATAGGTTAATTACGATAGGGCATAACTTCTTTAAAATAAAAAGAAGTCCAAATGGGGACAGGAGCAACTCAGGGAGAGTTCAGCATCAATATAATGTCAATAGTATTTCAAGCTTTTTCTGTATTCCTGCTTCATCATCATTGGCCTCAGGCCATTCCACTCATGGTTTTTATCTCATGGTCACAAGATAGCTGTTTTGCCTACGGCTTCACATCCACACAGAGAATATGAAGAAGGAGGGAAGGGCTGGCACCTGTATCAGAGTAGTGATACAACAGAGGCAGCTAGTTTCTCCTTCGTGTGAGAGGCAAAAAAAAAAAAAAAAAGTAAAGTTACTTCAAGGGAAGTTACTCAGAGATATCAGCATCCCACCCAAGGCACCTATTATAGATTGAGTTGTATCCTTTCAAAAGATATGTCGAAGTTCTAACCCTAGTACTTCAGAATGATATTTGTAAATAGGGTCCTTGCATGTGTAATCAAGATGAGGTCATTAGGAAGGACCCAAATCCAATATGACTAGTGTCCTTATAAGAAAAATACAGACATACAGAAAAAAATGCCACGTGAACACACAGAGATACACAAAAGGAAGACAATCATGAGAAGACGGAAGCAGAGACTGAAGTTATGCTCTCACAAACGAAGTAATTTCTGGCGCTAAGAAGCTGGAAGAGTCAAGGAGGTATCCTCTCCTAGAGGCTTTGGAGGGAGCATGGTCTAGTCAATACCTTGATTTTGGACTTCCAGCCTCCACAAGTGAGGGAGAATAAATTTCTGATGTTAGCCACCCAGTTTGTCACCTTAGGAAACTAACACAGCATCTAACCCAGATTTTGTTGGTAATTCCTGAATGCCTTAGCTTGAGAGGACAGCAATGTAATAGAATCTGCTTAGGGAAAGATCTTCTTAGGGATCAACTTAGGAGTGTAACAAAATAAGCATTACTATACCTCTCACAGTAGAAATAGTGAATCCAGGTATTTTGCATCCAGGTATTGAGTTTAGTACAGGACAAAGTTTTTAAATCATTCTATTTACAAAAATACCATTTTTCTTTCTCTTATGTAAACAGTTCAATAGATTATGTCATACTAAAGCTGTAATTATAATCTACTTTTTAAAGGAAGAATAATTATTTAATAAATGTTACCTCCTTGAGAAAATACATTTTTTTTTAATTCTTTTAGAGACGGGTTTCACCATGTTGGCCAAGCTGATCTTGAACTCCTGACCTTGTGATCCACCCACCTCAGCCTCCCAAAATGCTGCGATTACAGGTGTGTGTGCCACCATGCCCGGCCAAGAAAATATTTTCATATTTTAATATGAAAATTTAAATATTTTCATATTTT